GGCTGAGCCACCGAGCCCAGCTTCTTTTTATTTTTTTTGAGTTGCAGTCTCACTCTGTCGCCCAGGTTGGAGTGTAGCGGCACACTCACGGCCACCACAGCCTCGACCTCAGCCTTCGGAGTAGCCAGAACTACAGGCATGTGCTACCACGCCCGGCTAATTTTTTGATTTATTGTAGAGACATAGTCTCACCAAGTTGCCTGGGCTGGTCTTGAACCTGTGGACTCAGGCAATGCACTCGCCTCGGCCTCCCAAAGTGCTGGGATTACAGGCTTGAGCCACTGCGCCCAGCCTTAGAGTTTTATTTCAATCACAAAAAAGCTGCAAAAATTTGCACTTATAGTGTGTGTCAGGAACTGTGTTATGCTCTTTACATGCAAGTATAATGCCTATAACAATTACCACTTTATTTCCAAATGTAGATACTGGAGATCATCAAGTTTAAGTAACTCCCAAGGTCATATAACTGATAAGTGGAAAACTGAAAACTTAAACCCAAATCTGTCTGACTTCAAAGTCTGAGTTTAGAACTCCAAAGTTGTACTTGACATAGTTTTTCTTCAAATGATTTACTATAAAACAACAGAAACCTGTTTAATATAAGCAGGAGCAGTAAATGGACAATTAATTTTAAAAATGCTTATTAAAATAAGGAATCAACTGGGCACAGTAGCTTAAGCCTATAATCCCAGTACTTTGGGAGGCCAAGGCAAGAGTTTTGTCTGAGCCCAGGGGTTCAAGACCATCCTGAGCAACTTGGCATGACCCCATCTCTACAATAAATAAAAAAAATAGCCAAGTATAATGGCACTTGCCTGTAGTTCCAGCTACCTGGAAGGCTGAAGCAGAAGGATCACCTGAGCCCAGCAGGTCGATGCTGTGGTGGCTGGGAGTGTGCCACTGCACTCCAGCCTGGGCGACAGAGTGAGACTCCAATTCAAAAAAATAAAATAAGGAATCACAGTGGACTGCTACATAACTTAAACATTTTAAAAAATTAAAACACATAAATGATTTTTTTTTCTTTTGAGTCAATGTCTTACTTGTCACCCAGGCTGAAATGCAATGGCATGATCACAGCTCACTGCAGGCTTGACCTCCTGGGTTCAGATGATCCTTTCACCTTAGCCTTCTGCGTAGCTGTAACTATAGATGCATGCTACTACATCTGGTTAATTTTTTAATTTTTTGTGAAGATGAGGTCTTACTATGTTGCCTAGACTGGTCTCGAACTCTTTGGTTCAAGCAATCCTCTCACTTCGGCCTCTAAAGTGCTAGGATTACAGGTGTGAGTTTCTACGCCTGGACCATAAATGGACTTTAATTTGCAAACCTCCTAGTGTCAATGAAGTCTTTACTCTGACTATGGTCAAGGTACTGTTTTAGTGTATAAAGTGGAGTAAATACTTAAAGAAACTTGTAAAATAAGACAAATGCAGAATCCTTCTACATTTTTATGAATGATATCCCTATCTTTCCAGTCATTCCACCCATAGCAAATTAGAGAGCATTTTAAAAAATAAACGAGGCAGAGGTGAGAGGATTGCCTGAGCACATGAGTTCAAGACCAGCCTGGGCAACTTGGTGAGACCTCATCTCTATAATAAATCAAAAAATTAGCCGGGCATGGTGGTATGTGCCTGTAGTTCAAGCTACTTGGAAGGCTGAGGCAGAAGGATCACCTGAGCCCAGCAGCAGGTCAAGGCTGTGGTGGCTAAGAGCATGCCACTGCCCTCCAGTTTGAGTGACAGAGTGAGACTCCTATTCAAAAACAAAACAAAACAAAAACCAAACTTATCTTTACCAAATTTTCCCTAGACATTGAATATAATTTTCATAGAGATAATAGTCTTTGTCTTTGAGTTCATTTTCATCTGATTAAATAATATTAAATTATATAATTATATAACAACTTGATAAACAAGACAAATACTTCTTAGTAAGCCTACAATTCTCAAGATGTGAAGCTTAAGGACATGTCAGACAGAGCATTTATGTGCTGTAGGTAACAGTATGTTTTATAGGGAGAATGGGGAATGTAAGTTAAGTCTAACATTTCCATTAGGTGGGAGTAGTTAAGAGAGCTTTTATTATACTTATTTCTATATCTGGAATCCTATATTTCTTTTTCAATTAACATATTTTAACAAAGAATGTTTTTAAAAAACATGTTGTTTGATATTACTGAAAATGATATTTCCTGTGATAACATACACTCTCTTATTTTGACCATGCAATAACAATTATGACACATGTAAAAATACTCTGATAAGCCAAATGACTTAACTAAGGGCTTTTCAGTAATGAAGCCAGAACTTGTTCTAGGCTTTGAGTCTGAAATTCTAATGTCTCAGAGCCGCTGTAAGTATAGTGACTAGATTACTTCCAAGGAAAGGAAGGATGGAAAAGATTCAACAGCACTTGGGAAAGGCAATCATAAGCAGTAGAAAAACCCATAGACTAGGAATCAGGAGACCTATATTATATTTGTGACTCTGTCACTACTTAGATTACCTTGAAAAAGTCATTTCACCTCTCTAGTCTTAATAGTCTCACATATAAAATGAAGTTTTGCACTATATTCTCTCTCTAAGTTTCCTTTATTTTTTTTAATTGGTAGAGATAGGATCTCACTATGCTGCCTAGACTGGTCTTGAATTCCTAGTCCCAAGTGATGTTCCTGCCTCAGTCTTCCAAAGTGCTGGGAATACAGGCTTGAGCTGTAGCCACCTGGTCTAAGGTTCCTTTTAATTTTAACATTTGATCATCAAAAACACAAATTTGAGTAATATATTATTTTTTTCATACATCTGTATTATAGACCTAAAAAATATAATGCAATGTAATTCCACAAATAGGCATGTCAAGAAAAAAGAAAATCCCAACAATGTGAAAAACATAATAGACGATATCATAAGGATTAAAAACACTTGATGATAGCCGGGCTCGGTGGCTCAGCCTGTAATCTTGCACCTTTGGGAGGCTGAGGTGAGTAGATTGCCTGAGCCCACGGGTTCGAGACCCGCCTAGGCAACTTGGCGAGACCTCATCTCTACAATAAGTCAAAAATGAGCCGGGCATGGTAGCGTGCACCTGTAGTTCCAGCTACTTGGAAGGCTGAGGCGGAAGGATCGCCGGAGCCCAGCAGGTAGAGGCTGCGGTGGCTGGGAGCGGCCACTGCACTCCAGTCTGGGCGACAGAGTGAGACTCCAACTCAAAAAAAAAAAAAAAACCACACTTGATGCTAAATAATTCAAAGTCTGAGCCCTATCTCTATAGGTATGAGCACTTGAGCAAGTTACATAATCTAAGCCTAAATCCTCATCTACAAAATGATACAATTGTTAGAATTCAGTGAGATGATGTACATAGCAGTTAGCAATAGTGCTTGACATATTGTAAATATTTAAATTTGCAATTAATAATAAATCAAATGTGATACGAAAAAACCCTCTGTTTTCAATACATTATTTGAGGTCACAAATAATTCAAGATTACAGTGAGCTATTATAGTGCCACTGCATTCCAGACTGGCAACAGAGAGAGGCCCTGTCTCTTAAAAATAAATAATAATAAAACATCAAAAGAAAAGGGTACCTTAACTACTCAGATCAAGAAGAATGACCTAGCCAAGTGCCATGGATCATGCCTGTAATCTCAGCACTTTGGGAGGCAGAGAGGAAAGGATTGCCTAAACCCAGCAGTTCAAGAACAACCTAGGCAGCTTGGTGAGACCTCATCTCTACAATAAATTTTTTAAAAATTAGCTAGATGTGGTGGTGTATGCCTGTAGTTTCAGCTATTCGGAAGACTGAGGCAGAAGGATCATCTGAGCCCAGCAGGTTGAGACTATGGTAGCTATGATCCTGCCACTGCACTCTAGCCTGGGCAACAGAGTGAGACTCTGACT